CCCCCGTGTGGTTCTGGGATTTTTGCTCACCGTTCTTCTGATCATTTTGACCCCACGGGGTGAGATCTTGCGTGGAGCCCCAGATCGAGGGAGATTATCAGTGGTCTTGTATGTCTTCCATTTCCTGATAATTGCTCCCACAGTTGATTTCTTCAAACCAAGCTGCTTACCTATTGCAGATTCAGTCTTCCCAGCCTGGTGCAGGTCTACAATTTTGTTTCTGGTGTCCTTTGACAGCTCTTTGGTCTTGGTCATAGTGGAGTTTGGAGTGTGACTGTTTGAGGTTGTGGACAGGTGTCTTTTATACTGATAACAAGTTCAAACAGGTGCCATTAATACAGGTAACGAGTGGAGGACAGAGGAGCCTCTTAAAGAAGAAGTTACAGGTCTGTGAGAGCCAGAAATCTTGCTTGTTTGTAGGTGACCAAATACATATTTTCCACCATAATTTGCAAATAAATTCATAAAAAATCCTACAATGTGATTTTCGGGATTTTCTATTCTCAATTTGTCTGTCATAGTTGACGTGTACCTATGATGAAAATTACAGGCCTCTCTCATATTTTTAAGTGGGAGAACTTGCACAATTGGTGGCTGACTAAATACTTTTTTTCCCCACTGTATGTTGTTGAGAACTTCAACAACCTTTGCCGAGCGCAAAGTGAATTCCTTATAATCTTGCTCAGTGATACACAGGAAGAAGTCGGAGCAAAGAATTGGACAAACATTTCAAGCTAAGGGTAGGCCCAGGCAAAAGAAAGTTAAAGAATGTACCCTTTTACAAGCACTTTTATTTCAACTTTCAGATACTACCTAAGTATTGTACCTCCCAAGAAATATGAGCCTGGCAAACTGTATGAATTGGAAGTCCCTCGCAAACATCCAATAGAGCAAAATGAAGTGAACTTACTGTACATACTGAAGAATTCCAGTGCCAAAAGTTTCAACATTGATGTGTAGAAGGCCCAACTTGAATACAGAGACCTTTCAGTGGAGGACCTATTCAGACAGTATTTGTGTTCACTTTAGCCTCTCTGCTGTAAGCCCATTGCTGAGAATACTGCATGGATGAAAGAGCCTCTAACTCTACCACATTGATGCCGAACATGGTCAGCCTTTTGTCACCTTTGTCCTCTAAATGGCTTAATCGATCCGACGATCACTGGCGCCACACGAAAAGGCTGAGAGTTTGAAAAGCTTTCACAACCCCTACTGCCATGTTTATTGGAAGCCAGAAAATAGGCAATGTACCTTTTTGACTTCTGTGCCCACTCCAAGGAAAGGGAAAAGCTGCAATATGTGGACTTCTTTTCTGAAAATAGCAGATTAGAGAATATTGTTTAGCTACAGAAAAAGATTGTGATTGGTAGACCGGTCCGTCATCAATCAAATGCAACAAACCGAATTACACAGATACAATTTCATTAAATAAACTTCACAGCCTTTGATTATTGAATTGGATGTAGGCCAACTGCAATTCGATATTATCAGGAAGGGCACTACTGTACAGTAAGGGTGCACATTGAGAAAGCAGAAGAACAGTGCTGCCACCTACTGGACAGATCCTAAATCCCTGCTTGCAGGGAACAAGACCAGCAGCTACAGTGATAGTGACATGAATGGTCACCTGTCGCTGTGTCCACATCAATCATTGGCTGTATCTTCTGTAGCATGATATGCACTTCGAAACACTTCTACTGTGCCACTTCACAATATGTACACACAAGTACTTACAGTACTGGTGCATGCATTTCATCTTAGGTGAACACAGGTAAGTGAAAGTTTTTTTGGGAAACTGTTGTATTATGTTATTGTAAGAAGTGATGCATGTGCTGTGTGTGTGGTCTCTGTTGTTGCACTGAAACCATTGATGCAAAGTTAGTTGAAAATGATAAAGCATAATTATTTAAAGTTATGATATGAATATCTCAAAAATCATAGACTGGGATATTGTAATAAGCTGTTGCTACATAATGACATATATGTTACATGCAGGAAGATGTAGTTCTTGTAGCAGGCATTGGGATCGAAATGTGTAGGCATAGCTGCATTGCAACAGTGGTGCAGATAGACAGTTGCCATGAGAGGTTCAACACATGGATTTGAGGGAAATTAGTATAGCTATCACTGTTCACCCCTTTCTCTTGGACTAGCAGTTGGTGACTAACTCAAATCAATAACTTTGGCCTAATCATCATGCTATGAAATAGTTATGAACTTCAAGTTGCAGTAATCACAATATCCAGCAGGAAGCGGTAGAGAAACAGACCAATGACCTCAGAACAGTAAAGCAAAATCTTTACTACAGAAATGAACTTCTTGACAGAAAAGTTAGCAATCCCTGCAGAGTGGATATAGTAATTTGAACCCATTACATTGCATGTCAACTTAACCTCAGCCAGCTAAAATTTCCAACGATGTGCCTAAAGATGAGAATTGGTGGAGAGGAACCAGAACTTTCAGTTAGCTGGGAAGGGACCATTGCGAAAGAGTGGGAGGGGTCTGCAGCTATAGTGGGAGAGAGAGCTTAGGAGAAAGGGGTCAGCTATTCCTTGAGGATGGATGGCAAATAAAGCATTTAGAGGAAAATACTAAATCAGACTACTACAGCCTTGGAGCTGTGTTGGACTTGATGCAACCTTTGAGATACACTTCTTCATAATAAGCCAAGAGATGTTTGCCATAGTGTGTGAAAGGTGTCTTATGATGATTGATGACTAGTGTTGGAGTCGTGGGAAAGGAAAGGCAGATCGTGTATGGCAGATCCACAGCAAAGGACAAGATAGTATGTGAGAGAGGAGGTGACCTGCCTGTGATTGAGGAAGTCATGGAGATGGATGCTGTTGTATCAAGGGTCACTGATGTGGAAATGAGCTCCTGTTCCACTGGTAGTCTCACAAGGTCTGTGCAGCAGAGAAAGGTAAGGACAACTAGATTACAATTTGTTCATTGGCTGAGTTTGATAATATTGTATTAGGTTCTTGTCCTGTGTCAAAATTCTAGGACCTCTACAAGGCTGATGAACGAGAATAATGTTGATATTATGCATGGTCTGCTGTATATCCAGCAGTATGTGAATCCCTGGTGCTTTTTCATCTTATCTATGATTTAGTATACAGCAGAGGGCCATATGCTGTCTCTATTTATTCCTGACAGCTGCAAATATGTGCTTTATGTCCATACACACTACCATAATTATGATCTAAAAGGGGCTGCTTGGGAAACTCTACCCAAGATCTTCTTAGAAGCCAGTGAACTGAGAGACAATGCCCTGAGACCCAAAAGACAGAGACAGTTAGAGTAGACTCTCATAGAGAAGCGAGCTGGGTGATTAAAACATTTCCATTTGCCATGGTGGCAGTGACATTGGTTAAAAAGAATCAGGACTCTCTCTCCAATAGTGATTTGTGACTCACATTTTAGATTGGTGTGCTGACTTAGCCCCTCATAGGATCTGAACTACTTTTGTCTTGGTTTTGTGACTTAACAACTGGCTGTGAGAAATACTGTAGGAAACCAGATGTGAGGAATGAATGAGAGGTGGAAAATCAGTTATAGGATACTATTACACTGATCCAGTCTCACTGGGACAGAGATGCCTCCACTCTAGATGTCTGGCTAGGGATTTTATGGGCTTCATAGACAGATCTACATGACTAGAACTAGGATTAAGGCGAGAGAGAGAGCTCTCTATAGCGAGCAGAGAGAGAGAGAGAGAGAGAGAGGAAGAGAGAGATAGAGAGCAGAGAGAGAGGAGCAGAGAGAGAAAGAGAGAGAGAGAGAGGAGAGGAGAGATGGCAAGAGGAGAGACAGAGAAGAGAGAGAGAGAGGAGAGAGAGGAGAGGAGAGAAGAGGAGAGATGTAGGAGAGAGAGAGACGGAGAGAGAGAGAGAGAGAGAGAGAGAGAGAAAGAGAGAGAGACAGAGAGAGAGAGAGAGAGAGAGAGAGCAGAGAGTAGAGAGAAGAGAGGCAAAAGAGAGAGAGAGAGAGGAGAGCGAGAAGAGAGAGAGCGAGAGGAGAGGAGAGAAAAGAGAGAGGTGAAGAGTATATCTATGTCATATATGCGATAATAGCTATAATCTCTCTCTAGCTCTTATCTATCTATCTCTCCTCTCTCTCTGCTCTATTCTTCTCTCTACTCTCATCTCGTATCTCTTCTCTCTCTAGAATGGAGTCTGCTAGCAGGATGACTGCAGGACCTATAATGTTGGAGGAATATCGATGGGTCCATTAAAAAAAATCACCAAAAAATATAATGGTTACAACTTAAAGGGGTTCCCCTTAAGCCAAATTACTCTTTCAACTACTAATATACTTCCCAATTCAAAACCATCAACTCACATACAACACATTCAGTTTTTCTTTAATTCATGACTGTTAAGTTTTTACTTGGGTGCAGAATGCTAATTTCCTCTAATTGTTTTTGAAAACAAAACAGTTCTAGATGGCTCTAATCCAAGTGGCTCTGGTCCAAGTATGTGTTTGTTTACTGAAGCTCTATGAGAAGAGTATCGTTGGTCACAGGCCTGTCCTCATGACATCTAGGCTACCGCCAGACTAAAGACCCTGACTTTCCCATCAATGACCGAACAGACTGGAATGTTCCTTAAATGGAGTTTGTGTTGTTATTGTCTTTTTATGTTGACCAAATAGAGAATTTGAGGTCTACAAGTTTGAGGTCTACAATAGATTTTAAAGTCAAGCGTCACACGTTTCAGTTGTATATGTACTTTGAGGTCTTATTTTGCCTGAATATAAAATTGAAGGTTGTGTTTGAGGTCTAAAAGTTTTAGTTGCCTGTGTTAACATGGTTTAGTAACCATTGTGTTGACTACCATTTGAAAGTGTAAACATTTGGACTGATATTTCAGACCACTGTGTCGTGGACTGAATAAAGGGGACCGTGCACCTACAGACCCTAACAACAGGTCAGGGCAACCAAACTGCCCCTCACCTCCCTAGACAACCTGAACAACCAGCTGGAGGTCCCAAGCATAGCCATGCAGGCTGAGAGGAACACCTTGGCTGGGGGCAGAAAACTCTCCAAACCTCCCCATGCCACCATCAAAGACAAGATCTCAAAGTGGGAAGGAAAGGAGTCTTCCCCATCCCCACCATTAACAACAACAACAGCTACTACTACACCCACTCAGAGTATTGTGGAAAGACCTGACTCCTTAATTAAGAGTGATTCCAAACCCACCATGGAGGACTCCAAAAGACCAACCAGCAGGGAGAAGCAGAAGAACAATGGGAAGGAGAACATAGGAAAGGATGGGGATTCAATGCCTACCTCCCCAACAGTCACTACAGTTCCTCTTGTGAAAAGAACAGAATCCCTGAAAAAGATTGACGCCAGACCCACCGTGGAGGAGCACAGGAGTAGACCAGCCAGCAAGGAGAAGCAGCAGAACCATGGGAAGGAGAATGAAGGAATGGCTGGGGATTTGAGGCCTACCTCGCTTGTGGGGCCTGTAAAGGACACTACTGTGAAAATAACTGAATCCCTGCAGAAGAAGAATGTCAGACCCTCCGAGGAGCAGCATGAAGGACACTGCAGCAGGTTGGCCAGCAGGGAAAAGCAGCAGAACATTGGGAAAGAGATCATAGGAAGGGCTGGGGCTTCTCAGCCTACTGTGGAGCCTGTGAAGGAGCAGGTGATGGGGATGCTGAAGAAAGACAACGTTAGGAGACTGGTGGAGCAGAGAGCTGTCTTCACTCTCTTCAAGAAGCTGGAGCAGACCATGAGGGAAGAGAACCCCGGTAAGAGTCCTCTAGAGCTACCTGGCAACTACTTCTGCCCTCCTAGCAGAGATACACAAGTAGAGGCCAAGAGAAGGGAGTTAGAATCCATTTTAGGAACACTGGACGCTGACCAGACGTTTGGGGGGTCGAGGCAAGGTGGGCAAGAGGGACGAGACCTGGAGAATGTGTACACAGAGCCAGGGACACCACCCATAAACCCGGTCCCCAAACCCCAGCGTACCTTCCAGCAAAGTACCTTCCAGCACCTCTCCAAATCTGAAAGGAGGACCCGCTCATTACCGAGACATGGGAAAGTGCAGAGGAATCTGCCCCCACTGCCTTCCATCTCCCCTCCACCTCTGTCCAACCAGCCTTCCCCCGACATCTACAGGAGACCCAGGACAGACAGACAAAGAGATAGAGACAACCAAAGCAGGTAAAATAGCAGTACAGAACAGACAACAATACATTCACACTAACAGTAATTAATTCACTCTCATATAAACATACAAACAATATATTCATATTATTTCCCCCTTTCTTTCTTCTGTTCCTTCACAGGAAATCATTTGAGTTCGAGGACATTCTGTCATGTCATCCGCCGTATCATCATTATGAAATTATTACAGGTGAAGAATAAAATACAGATCGATCACAAATAATCATTGAACCTAAATTCAATAGTGTTTAATTATCTTTGGTCTCTCTGCAGACTATTCCAAGGAGAACCCATATGAGGACATTGACGTATCCAGTCAGTGCTCATCACAACCTTCTCTACCTTCCTCTCCTGGGTCAGAATGCTCCAAGGTACATAACACTGTCTCAATAATAACATAAAAGATGTCATCAACAGTCATGACAGTTTGTGTCAGTGTAGCAGATGGGGATCTGTGATGCTCACTCCTAAGCCTGAAGTGTCTCCACAAGCGCTGTTGAATAGCTAGCTTTTCGGTGGTGTGACTGAGTAAGATGCTTCAGGAGGACGGTCATGTGCCCCACCCCATCCTTTTTACGCTGCTGCTACTCTGTTAAGTATTTATGCATAGTCACTTTAACTCTACCCACATGTACATATTACCTCAACTACCTCAACTAGCCGGTGCTCCCGCACATTGACTCTGCAACGGTACCCCCCTGTATATATAGCCTCCCTACTGTCACTTTATTTTACTTCTACTCTTTTTTTCTCAACACTTTTTTTGTTGTTGTTTTATTCTTACTTTTTTTGTTTAAAATAAATGCACTGTTGGTTAAGGGCTGTAAGTAAGCATTTCACTATAATGTCTGCACCTGTTGTATTCGGCGCATGTGACCAATAACATTTGATTTGATTTGATTTGATGTGTATTTGCGAGGCAGAGGTCCTGGGTTTGAGCCTCATGAGCCAAATCAGGAGGAAGAGGTACTCGCTAAGCAAGCAGTGTGATGTCTTTTACATCAGTTTTTGACTTACTTTACTTCACAGATTGACCTGATTGTTTTTGGTCTCTGTGCAGATCTCGAGGCCTGGTTTCTTCAGACAGAACTCTGGTGGGAAGTGTAGCTTCAAACTTCCAGATCTGCGTAAGACCAACCACCACCGTAGTGATAGTGGAGGAGGAGTAGCATCTCCCCCCCGGCTCAGCCCCCCCTCCACCCCTCACAGCCCAGATGATCTGCCCCATTGGCTGTCTGGAGGAGATTCCTATAACCTTGCCTGCAGGAGGATACCAACGGTAAGAGACTGTGGGGTAATCTCAATAGTCTTAAGTTGTTTCCTCTCCTTGTGACACAAACCGGTGCGCCTGGCACATACTACCATACCCCTTTCAAAGGCACTTACCCTCTATGAAGGGTTCTACAGATAACCTTTTTATCTTATCTTACCCTCTTATCTTTGGAGGATTCTTCCCTACTGAATATACCTAACATTGAGTTGCACCCCCCCCCCCCCCCCCCCCCCCCCCCCCCCCCCACCCACCACCCACTACCATACCCTGTTCAAAGGCACATACATTTTTTATCTTGCCCATTCACCCTCTGAATGGCACACATACACAACCCATGTATCAGTTGTCTCAAGGCTTAAACATCCTTCTTTAACCGGTCTCCTCCCCTTCATCTACACTGATTGAGATCAATAAGGAATCATAGCATTCACCTGGATTCACCTGGTCAGTTTATGTCATGGAAAGGTGTTCTTAATGGTTTGTATACTCAGTGTATATCCAATATTTATATTTCTAACATTCATTCTTCCAACAGGATGTGCTTAAAATCAACAGCATCTTCGAGGCTCGTGTTGGAAAGAAACATCTGAGGAGGGTCTATCACATTGCTGAGACCAGCTCAGGGAGAGGTGAGTGTGAGATTATTTCAACCCCCCAAAACTTGACTAACATTATTTCAATGCTCTCCATTTTGTAACACTGTGTTTCCTGTTTGTTGCAGTCACAGATGAATACACTGACTCAGAGAGTGAGACAGAGGACAGGGCTAAAGGTACTATGTGAACAACTGACATCTTCCACAATTCCATCAAGTGCTTTTGTCAGTATTCAATTCAATCTCACATTCATTCATCTTCCCTTTTTCTGCCCCTTTCCTTCTCTTTCATTACCCTCCCTTTTTCCTTCCCTTCCCTCCTTCCTCTCTCTCAGCCCATCGGCAGCGTCTATCCTCAGTTCAGTCTATCCTGAGCCAGCCGGGTGAGGGTCAGTACGGTAACAAACACAGCTCTCTGGACCGCACCAGGAATCTGAAGCAGCTACATCAACGTCAGCTCTTTGAGTACTTTCTGGTTGTGGCGCTGCACAGCACCAAGGCTGGCATCCACTACCTGCCGGTGGTCATACAGCAATTTCCTCTCAAGGTGAGGAGAATGAAGGAGTTTGAAGATAGCGCTGAATTGGATAGCTGCCGTCTTTGAGGATCCTGACCGATTCTGCCATTTCTTTTGTTATTTTCTATGCTGATCATAACTTTTTTTGTACATAATGTCTCCACCATCATTTCCTATGACCGAAAACAGCTTCTGGACATCAGAACAGTGATCAATAACCTCGATTTGGATAAAGTGTTCTACTTTAACAAGTCGGCAGCTCTGGACGTTCTGTTTACCCCGGACCAGGCCCTGATCCCAGGACTCGAAAGAGGAAGCGGTGGCGAAAAAGAGGCAAGCTGTAACATAGAGGCAGGAAGCAGGTGCAGTTAGTGAGTTTAATAACAATGAACATGGAACGATACAAAACAAGAGACATGGAAACACAAACAATACTACCTGCTGACTGATAACCAAAGAGTGCTAAATAAAGGGTAGGTAATCAAGGGAGTAATGAAGTCCAGGTGTGACTGATGTGCGTAATGATGGTTGCCAGGTGTGCGTAAAGATGGGTCGTCAGCAAACGGTGGTTAGTAGATCGGTGACGTCGAGCGCCGGAGCGGGGGAGAGGGAGTAGACATGACACAAACGAGGCAGCGTCATGAGAAGACTACTTCAGCGAGCATGGAGAGCGCGATTAACTCCGTCATTTCTAACAAGTTTCAGAAAATAAATTTTGGTAGCATTTCTATGTTAAATTAAAAAAAATAATTTGGTGCATTTTTCCCCATATACCATCCATTTGGCTTTATTTTTATAATATATTACACTTGATCTTTCTTGAATAAGTTCCTCCAGTTCTTTTTGTTTTTCCTCTAACTTATTCTGTGCCTCTATGGGACAGTTTCTATTGCTATCAATCTGTACTGTTAGTCCCTCTAATTCCTTTGTTAATATGAACTATTTTGACCTAAATGGCTTTTGTTTTAAATACGTTTTAAAGGTCAGTATGAGATGAGCATGAGGGTTTTGTTGGCGAACGTGCAAACTCAATTACCTCTGCTCGAGACTATCCTATCAACGGGACCTGAAAAACTGTAATATGCCATGTTTCTCTGAGTTGCTGTTATTTCTATGCATCCTTAAGACCAGACGGCAAAATCGGGTAAGGCGAGAGGGGGAGGGGTGTGTCTTTTTGTTAACAACATCGGGTGCGCGATGTCTAATTTTACTCCACACACAGAAACACATACAAGGCCCTCCCTCACCCTCCCTTTGCAAATCAGACCATAACCTTATCCTCCTGATTCCTGCTTACAAGCAAAAAAACTCAAACAGGAAGTACTGTGTTGCTTGCCTCGAAGCGAGCATAGCTCAATACGGAAGTGGTCTGACGAAGCGGATGCTAAGCTACAGGACTGTTTCGCTATAGCGCAGTCACCGTCTTCATAAATAAGTGCATTGAGGTCGTCATCCCCACAGTGACTGTACGTACATAACCCAACCAGAAGTAATGGATTACAGGCAACATTCACACTGAGCTAAAGGCTAGAGCTTCCGCTTTCAAGGAGCGAGACAATGATACAGACGCTTATACGAAATCCTGCTACGACCACCGACGAGTCATAAAACAGGCAAAGCACCAATACAGGTGTCACGATCGTCGTTACAGGAAGCGGACCAAGGCGCAGCGTGTGATACAAACATGACTTTATTTTAATTAACGAACAAACCAAAACACGACTCGTGAAGTCCAACGGTTAAACATACCGAAACGGAACAAAAACCCACAACACCCACAGGAAAACATACAGATTAAATATGGCTCCCAATCAGAGATAACGAGCCGACAGCTGACACTCGTTACCTCCGATTGGGAGTCATTGACCAAACATAGAAATAAACCCAACAGAAATACAAACATAGAAATACACCCAACGAATGAACACACCCTGGCTCAAATTACAGAGTCCCGGAGCCAGAGCGTGACAGTACCCCCCCCTAAAGGCGCGGACTGCGACCGCGCCTCAATACGGGCTAAACAAGGGAGGGCTGGGTGGGCATACCTCCTCGGCGGTGGCTCTGGCTCTGGCCTTGATCCCCACCTCCTCTCCCACCCCCCAAAGTACCCCTGGTCCTGTCTAGCCCCGCTGGCCGGAGCCGGACTGACGACACGCGCCCCTGGCTTGGTGCGTGGAGGACGAACGGGCCTTACCAGGCTGACGACGCGCACCACTGCCTTGGCGCGGGGAGCAGGAATGGGCCGGACCGGGCTGACGAAGCGCACCCCTGTCTTGGTGCGGAGAGCGGAACCGGGCCGGACAGGGCTGACGAAACGCACCACAGACTTGGTGCGGGGAGCAGGACTGGGCCGGACAGGGCTGACGAAGCGCACCACAGACCTGGTGCGGGGAGCAGGAACGGGCAGAGCCGGGCTGACGAGACGCACCACAGACTTGATGCGGGGAGCAGGGACAGGCCGGGCTGAACTGGCGACGCGCACCACAGACCTGGTGCGGAGAGCAGGAACGGGCAGAGCCGGGCTGACGAGACGCACCACAGACTTCATGCGGGGAGCAGGAATGGGCCGGACTGGACTGACGACGCACACCACTGGCTTGGTGCGGGAAGCTTGGATGGGCCGGACTGTACTGGGGACACACACCACTGGCCCTACACCGGGATCTGGAACGGGCCGGACCGGACTGGCAACACACGCCAGTACCTCTCGCCGTGCCTCTACTTCCTCCATCCCCTCTTTGACCAGTGGCCCCCGTAACCCGGCGGCCTTCTCCGGCAACCCACTGGACCGCTCTATCGTGGCCTCCTGCTGGTCCGCCGTCGTGAGCCCCCCCCTAAAAATTTTCGGGGCGTCTCTCCTACCCGTGGCCCAGGTCTCCATGTCCCTCGCCAGCTTCTCGCCCTTCTGCCATAATGTCAAGCCCCTCTCTTCCTCACTCGGCTTGACCCAGTCCAGGAGGCGAAGGAGATCTGTGAGGGATCTCCCCGGCGATGGCTCCTGGACACGCTGCTTGGTCCCATCTTGGTGGGTTTTTCTGTCACGATCGTCGTTACAGGAAGCGGACCAAGGCGCAGCGTGTGATACAAACATGACTTTATTTTAATTAACGAACAAACCAAAACACGACTCGTGAAGTCCAACGGTTAAACATACCGAAACGGAACAAAAACCCACAGCACCCACAGGAAAACATACAGATTAAATATGGCTCCCAATCAGAGATAATGAGCCGACAGCTGACACTCGTTACCTCCGATTGGGAGTCATTGACCAAACATAGAAATAAACCCAACAGAAATACAAACATAGAAATACACCCAACGAATGAACACACCCTGGCTCAAATTACAGAGTCCCGGAGCCAGAGCGTGACAACAGGACCAAGATCGAATACTACTATGCCGACTCTGATGCTCATCGGATGTGGCAGGGATTGCAAACTATCACGGATTACAAAGGGAAACCCAGCCACGAACTGCCCAGTGAGCTAAATGCCTTCTACGCTCACTTCGAGGCAAGAAACACTGAACCATGCATGAGAGCACCAGCTATTCCAGACGACTGTATGATCTCCCTCTCCATAGTTGATGTGAGTAAAACTTATCAACAGGTTTACATTCACAAGGACGCGGGGCCAGATGGATTTCCAGGACGTGTACTCAGAGTATGTGCTGACCAGCTCGCAAGTGTCTTTACTGTCATTTTAAACCTCTCCCTGACCTAGTCTGTAATATCTACATGTTTAAAGCAGACCACCATTGTCCCTGTGCCCAATAACACCAAGGTAACCTGTCTAAATGACTATGGCCCCGTAGCACTCACCTCTGTAGCTATGAAATGCTTTGAAAGACCGGTCATGGCTCACATCAACACCATCATCCTATACACCCTGGATCCACTCCAATTCGTATACTGCCCCAACAGATCCACAGACGACGCAATCTATATTGCACTCCACATTACCCTCACCCACCTGGACAAAAGGAATACCTATGTAAGAATGCTGTTCATTGACTACAGCTCAGCATTCAACACCATGGACCCCTCCAAGCTCATCATCAAGCTCAGGACGCCGGGACTGAACACCTCCCTGTGCAACTGAATCCTGGACTTTCTGACGGGCCGCACTCAGACAGTGAGGGGAGGCAACAACACATCCGCCACACTGACCAACACGGGGCCCCTCAGGGGTGTGTGTTTAGTCCTCTCCTGTACTCCCTGTTCACCCAGGACTGCATGGCCATGCATGACTCCAACACCATCATCAAGTTTACTGATGACACAATGGTGGTAAGACTGATAACCGGCGACGATGAGGCAGCCTATAGGGAGGAGGTCAGAGCTGGCAGTGTGGTGCCAGGACAACCTCTCCCTCAATGTCAGCAAGACAAAGGAGCTGATCGTGGACTACAGGAAACAACGGTGCGAGCACGCCCCCATCCACATCGATAGTGAAGCAGGTCGAGAGCTTCAAGTTCCTCTGTGTCCACATCACTAAGGAATTAACATGGTCCACACACACCCAACACAGCTGTGAAGAGGGCACATCAGCACCTCTTCCCTCTCAGGAAGCTGCATCATTGATAGTATCTTGACTGGCTGCATCACTGCTTGGTACAGCAACTGCAAGGCACCCGGCCGCAAGGCGCTACAGAGGG